CTGGGTAGGAATTAGCAATGGCTAACATTAAACACATGCTGGGCCCACTCAGAACAGCCTGTGAGGCAGATGCCATCCATCTCCCCATTTCACAGATGAAACTGAGGCACCTAGTGGTTATATGATTTGCCTTATACAGGAAGCTAAATGAGTGAGTGACCCAGGATTTGAACCCACATAGTCCTCTCTCCAGGGACTCTGTATTTAACTGCTTTACTATCCTGCCAGTTAACTGTAATAAGCCAGAAAAAGCAATGGAAAAGAGATATAAGAAACCATTCATAAGAGACTCAAAAATAGTAAATAGCCCAACAATAAATGGTCAGGAGTTCATAAAGAAGAGTATAAAACTTTTCTGACACAGAAGACTTGAATGATACACATATAATGCTCCTATATGGGAAGATTTTAGACTATAAAGTTGTCAAGCCTGTCCATGGTGATTTAGAAGTTTTAGAGAGCAAAATCACAAATGTGCTTTTTAAGGAACTTGATGACATGATTCTAAGAAGCACTGGAAGATTTAATGGGTGAGAAGAACCAGGAAGTTTTTGAGAAAAAGGAGCATAATCAGGGCAACTTTGCCCATTGCCATGTTTGGGGGCATATTATAAAGCCATGGTAATTAAAGCAGGGCGACACTGGCTTTTGAATAACAGAAAGATAAGATATATGCAACTAAATATTTGCCATATGATCAGGGAGGTGTTTCATATAAGTGAAGAAAAATATATAACTTACAGCCAACATTAATTCCCAGTGGGTTTGATATTTCATCTATATTGTATTTCTCCTCAGAAATGCATAATGTGAATTAAATCAAAGAGAAACATCAAAGAAACCAAGATGAGGACCCTCTTCAGAATGGTCTGGAATCTTCTAGCTGTCAGCAGCCAGGCAGGCTGCGGGAAGAGGATGAGCTCACAGAACTGGGGACAAGGCCTTGGGCTGAGGGCGGAGCGATGAGAACACCCACTGTCGAGGGGAAGGTGGGCGTGGCATGAGCCACAGGAGGGGAATCGGACTCTGGCAGAAGGGCCCTGGGAGCAGCCAGTCCAGTGCCACCAACAGGAGGCCCTGCCCTTTGCCTCCCTGGCTTTCTGAACTCTTCTCAAGTGACTGCTGGTATATCCCTTAATGTGACATTGTGGAAGCTCAGAAAAACATATCTGTGAAGGGCTTTTAATCATGTCAGAGAAGACATTAAATATAATGTTAAGCAAAACCATTATATTGTGTTTACTGTGTGCCAGGTACTGTTCTAAGTCCTTTCAGAGTTATTCTTCAAATCTACCCTATGAAGCAGGTAGTATTATTATCTCTCATTAAAAGTTGAGGACGCTGAGCAGGAAACAAGAGGTCAAGTGCCTCAAACAATGTCACATGGCTGTGCGTTTAAGGCTGGGATTTGACTATAGGTAGTTGAACCCAGAAACTGTGCTTGCAGTCAACATGCTTTACTCTTCTGTATAAAACCAATAATATGACCAGGAACAAGACTGAAGGGATGGTCAGAGATTGCCCAACTTGCCCAGAAGGTGGATTATAGATATTTGTTTTCTGGATGCATTTGTTCTTTGCTATTTTAGAATACCCTAAGGTAAGTCAGCATTATTTTTATAATGGGAAAAAGTCAACAACTAAATGAAAAAAATTCTACCTACCCTTTTATTGGTTCTATGGGAATCTTGGCCACTCTAAGCCCATGCTGACTCAGTCGTCTCTGAAATCCCAAACCACTTAGGTCCCTCCCGTCCCCGTATTGGACTTCACTGTTGGCTAAGGGGTTGGTGAGTTCGAGTTATTGCTCGGACATTTCAAGCTCTACTTGATGCTCTGGGGAAAATGGAAATACTCACATCTCAAACCTTTCTTTCTCATTCATCCTGTGTAAGAAAATAACTTCATGTTGTTCTAAGCCACTAAGTTTTCTGTAACTTGTTACAGTGGCAATTGGAAACGAATACACACACCTAGTAAAGGATAGTTAGTATGTGGACCTGGACTGTCCCACTTCATAGCTTAAACTCTCCACCATAATATTGGACCTCCATCAGTGTCTCCCAGAACAGGGGTCCAGGACAACTCTTTGGGGTTCTCCATCCTAGGATCAATGAAGGCAGGCGTGTGGATAAGTCGGGGTGGAAGGGAGCCGAGCAGAGAGAATATTCTGGATGGGGGAGACTGCCTACAAAGTCCCCGAAGCAGCAGACAAGAAATCAGTAGGTGAGGGGGCCAGGCTGGGTGGCAAGCAGGAGGAGGCCTACCCAGGCTGATGTGGAATGCGCCTGGATGCTGCAGGCTCTGTGAGCAGCCACAGGAAAGATGAACAGAAGCTGTAGGGCTGACCCCAGCAAACCGGCCCAGAGCCTGTGCCGGACAGCAGCCCGCCTCACTCAGTCTCCCTACCTGTGGAAAAAGGATAGGAGCACATCCCTCCTAGAGTTGCTGAGGGCCCCAGGAGCTGGCCAGGCCAGCTGGACCTCACTGGCAGAGGCAAGGCCACCCTGACCTACTGGCATCTTGTGCCATAGTTTGGTGAAGATGTTCCCCCTGGGTCACATCCAACTCACACCAAGTCTGCTGGACCGTGGAATGCTGGTGGGAGCAGGGCCACTGGCAGGGGAGGTGCTGGAGGGGGGCCTTGCTCCTAATACCTCTGGTCTCACAATTCAGTGTTTATTTTCCCTCAAGCTGGGCTGGCAGTTTGTCTCTGATGTTCCTGCCCTGTGAGATCATCAGCTTCCTGAGGCCCCATTCAAGACTGAATGCCATTCATTCATTCATTCATTCATTCATCCATCCATCCATCACATGCTTATTGAGTCCTTACTAAGTGTGTTGGAGAGACAGAGATGATCAGTGTCCAGCCCACAGGGAACTCACATCTAGCCAGAGCAACATGAAAGTGCGATGTAGCTGTGCATGGTGGCCCTGCCAATCTGGGTGATCCAAATGGGTGGCCCACAGGCCTGAAACAGCCAACAGATGCATTTTGTTTGGCTCGCACAGTTATTTTCATCCTCATTTACTTATCAATTTACCCAGATTGAGAGGTTTCACAGGGACGCCTTTGTTGCCCTTGAAAAGCTAGAAGCTCTGGCAAACCAGGTTCACATTTCCTTTCCACACAGTCAGGGGTGAAGCTAAGTAGAGCTGCCCCTTCCGGTTCATCACCATCTCCCTCCTCCTGGGTCCTGTGTCTCCTCAGAACCAGAGAGCGTCAGGATCCACTGCCATGCTTGCGTTGCTGCTTGTCTTGCGGAAGTTAAGACAACAGTGACATGTGACATATTTTCTTGTTTCCATCTAAAGAGGGAAAGCAAAAGCTAAAAAAAAAAAGTGAGTTTGAATGGTTTCCTAATGCTCGAACCATTTGGTTTATTTATATTACCTAGAGTAGCAGTCAGGATATTTGGGGTTATTCTGTGACAACACCCAACCCCTAAATCCCGTGGGCTTAAAAAGCTAAAAGGCTTATTTCTCATTTGTGCTCTCAGTCCATTGTAGGCTGGCCTGCTCCACATCTCCTCATGCCAGGACAGACTGTTGGAGTGGCTGCCCCCTTAAATATGGTAGATGGGCAAGGAGCTCCAAGGGCTTCCCACCTGTAATGAATTGTTCCAGCACAGAAGTGGCACATGTCACTTCCACTCACAGCTCAACCGGCCAGAACTAGTCACATGGCCCCATTTAATCAAAGGGAGCTAGGAAAACCAATCCTACATGTGCCCCAAAGGGAGTGACCTGGAGTTATTGGTGTACAGCATTCATGATCCCCCATAAGTGCCTGGTCCCTTCAGCATGAGCTTGGAGAACCCACTTTATAGATGGAAAGACTGTGGCCTAAAGAGGGGAAGAGACTTCATAATAACCCTATGCCAGGCCCAATACTGAGCACTTCCACATGTTATAAATTTTGCTTTAGTTGAGTGCTCGGGCTCTGAATATGGACTCAAATCTAGGAGTAACACCTGGCTCTGCCACTCTCTGGGATACAGTGTTGGGCAAATTAGAAAGCTTTCCAGCATAACTGTAAAGGGGCTGACCCTGGGACCTGCCTCATAAAGCTGTTTTCACGGTTAAAGTAGATGGTGCACAGTCTAAAGTCCTCAGCGTTGTGATAAAACTTTAGTGCACACTGGCCACCACAACACCTAGAAGAGGTTCAGGGAGGTTAAGTCACTTGTCACAGTTCCTGCAGCAGAACTGGGTTTTAAGCTCCAGTCTTCGAACTCCCAGACAAGTGCTCACAACTCTGCACTTAGCTGCCTTTCCTTACTTGAGAAACTTCCTTCTTCAGAGACAGTTCCCAGCATCTGTGGCCTTTATGATCTCTTCTCTGGAAATAATCCTTGGCTGTCATGAGTCCCAGAAATCACTGCATGCTGCTCTGTGAGCTCAGGACTCCAATGAACATCCACACACCTTCTCTTGACCCTGGGGCAGACGGGTGATCCCCATGCTGGGACCCAGGACCTTTTGATGTTTCTTATATGTGCTCGTATGGGCTCACTGGCTGACCGTGACAAGGTACTTCACTCTGAGCCGCACTGCGCAATGGGAAAGTTAAAAATTCTTCAACCGTTCTCCCAGCTCTAAAGCTTTCTCAAAGATTGTACCTCCTTCCTTCCCTGTACCACAGGGATGACGTTCTCAGGTCACAGATGTGCAAGTATCTTGAAAATTCAAGAATTGCACAGTGGCTAAGAGTCCGGGCTTTGCTTTGGAGGCCAACAATTCAAGGGTTTAAATCCCAGCCCCTACTTGTTGAACTTGGAGAAATGTTCTTAAGCTCTTTCCATCTTAGTTTCCTCATATATCAAAAGGGTATAATAAAAGTACCTCATTCATATCGTTGTGAATATTAAACAATGATTAATTGAAGCAATGCCTGGCGCCAAGAAGTGCTTAATAAATATTAGCTGTGTGCCAGGAGCCCCTGTTATTATAAAAGCCTCTGTTCTTAAAGAATGTGTAAACTCACGGGGAGACAAGAAGTGCCTCTGAAGTACAGTCTGGGGACAATAGGATTGTCTGGTATTCATCGTGAATTCAGAGACTGTGGTACAGGTTGTCAGAGCTGCAGGAAGCAGAGAAGGGTGGCTTGGAAGAATTAGGAAGGTTTCTCTAAGGAGGGCATTGATGGGAGGATTTGGCTGAGAAAGGGTAGGTTTCAATGACAGGGTGTTTTGTGGGGAACACTACCCCAGGTGAAAGAAGGAATAGACCAGGAATCACTTTTCTTGGTCACTCATATGCCTCCCATGATATGTCAGTCGCTGTGTTCAGTGCCAAGGACACAAGATGAATATGGCAATTCAGTATCATAGCTAACACCAGGGGCACTGAGTCAGACATACTTGGGTAAGAATCCCAGAGCTGTCACTTTCGAGCTGTGTGATCTTGGCCAAGCTGTGAAACCTCTCTGAGATTTACTTCTCCATTCTGCAAAATAGGGATAATAATAGCACCTCATCATGGGGCCATTGTGAGGATTAAATGAACTGCCTGAAAAAGAAGTCAGCCCCTGGTAAGTGACAGTCATTGTTGCTCTCCTTAGTACATGGGTGTTTTGCATTGTAATGTTGTGGGGTACAATGTGTGAGAAATACAGCTTCTGACTGAGAATTGTACAAAACTCAAAGAATAAATGATCTGTGATGCATCCTGACTCCCCAGACTATGGGATGGTCCTACACATGAATGAAAAGGATTCCAGAACAGTGCTACTCAAAGGGTATTCCATGCTCCCACACTAGCTTGCAACTCTTTGTAAAAGATCTATAATAAGGCAACTATAGAGGTTGAGGGTAAATGTTTAGAAACTTTTGTAGCAATTTCACATTGCTGTGACATCCAAATGCATACTCAGTAGACTTGTCTCATTGAAAAGGGTGCAGACCAGTTCAGCTATTATTGAGCTTACATTGTAAATTGTACGTGACTCAAGCTGCTTACCAGTCATGTGCAGTAGGACCATGTGCTAACCCACAACGCACTGAAAATATTTCAAAAGAGGCCTCTACAGCAGGTAGTTTGAGAAACACTGTTCCATAGGTAGGCAGAGAACTTTGATTTTGAGTGGGTAGATATCAGAGAGGGTCCACTAGGGAAACAAAAAGTGCTCTGGGTGGTTCAGACATACAGAATTTAAAAGAGGGGATTGGTCACATAGATCTGGAAAACCAAACAAGGGGCAATGTTACAACCCAGAGATTGGCTATCACAGGAAGCTGCTAATACTCCTAGTGCTGGAGGGACAAGATCATGTGCTGCAACCAAAATCAAGATTCAGGGTTGTTCAGAAGGGAGCTTGCCCCATGGCTAGGGCTTCTAAGCAGGAGCTAGAGCCATGGAAGAGATGTATGCACTACCACAGATAGAGAAAACAGAGAGAGAAAGATAAATACTCCAACTTTCCTCCTCCTCTCACCCCCTAGTATTCTGCCAGTGCATTCCAGAAACCAGTTGGCAAGACAGCTTGGGAATAGAGAGCAGGGGAAGGACAGTGAATGGATCTGAAATAAAATAAGCCAGTGAGTGTCACAGGCGGCAACAGAGAGTAGAAAACCAGGCAGATGGAATGACCTCCAGTTTTCTTTTGACCATGGTGGTGTTGTTAATGGATTAGGACGTCTTACCAGCGCACTGTCTTTTGTTAAGAGCAAGTAAAATGGTACTCACTTTACATTCCTAGAGTTTGGAAGGGTGGGGGAGAAGAAACGGGAGTTTCTGTACCACCCACTCCAAGGGCAGGGTCAAGAAACAGTAATAAGTCTGTTTCTACAGATTATTTTCCTTCCAATGTCCCTCTTGTAACTTCCAAATGGAAAAAAATTCCATAAACTCTGTGATGTCCCCCAGTTTCGAAATGGAGCTGTTAGAACCAAAGGATGTGTGCATCATGGAGAATACTTAGAAGAATTTCTTAGGAAATGGAGAAAGAATTTCAGGGAAAACTTTAAAAAGAAAAAACAAAACAAAACAAAAAACAGGAGGTTGGGAGAACAGAACACTTGTAGGAAGAACCTGCCACACTGGGATGCAGGGAGAAAATTGATATTAATGAAACATCATGAGCGAATTAAGACAGCCAAAGTGCTCTCAGATGTCTGTGGGGGACTGCTCCCCTCACCGGCTTTTGGAAAAAGTTAACATGTAAAAGTTCCTCATAAACAAAAGTATTTTAAGAATTTCAACTTGGAGACATTCCTGGCTAGCATCGTTCATGCAGTTGGGAATACCTTTGATTAATTCCGGCTGGTAATTAGGTTGAAGAGAGTTTGTGCCAAGCACTCCCAAGAGCGGCATGAAGTGTAGGAGGGAAGACAGGGCACAGGAACGGGCCCTTACCTCCTGCCTTCCCGTCCTGAGGTGAGCTGGATGGTGACTTCTGGTTTTAGGCATAAGACCAGTCAACTTCAGCCTGATTCAGGTCATCTGTAAGACTGTCACTGAAACCACCCTGTGTGTATGACTATAGAAGACACCAGCTGGGCTCGGGTGTCTCTCCAGCTCATATCTTTTCTGAGAACAGCTTCTCCCTACTCTACAACCATATTTAAATCACAAGATCCCAGCCGTGGACATAGCAGATTGGACCAGGAGTGATCACCTGACTAAAGCTGAGCCAACCAGATTCTCTCTCCACAGCATATGGAACTAAGAGATGTTAGTGTCTACTCATTGCTTGAACTGTGTAAAGTATACACATTCAGAAAATGCTGGCTGCCTGCCTTTCACAGAGAAGCCAATTTACAGAGAGATGAAGAAATCCAGAGAAAAAAGGTGATTCGAGGCAATGAGTCTTGAGAGAGAATCTGGTTTTGGGACTCTGGTTCCTGTCCCCCATAAGGTCTAGTTTTATGGCCTCTGTTTGGGTTTTGAGAAATGCATCCAAAAATAGTCCTCTTTTTTAAGGCTTGTGTAAGTTTGTGTTTCTGCTCTTTGCCACCAAGACACCAACAATATGAGAAAATGATGGACTTCATGTAATGGCCTAAGATGGCCCCAGTGCCTGCAAGTGGACTAGACAACAATACTTTTTTACTACTCACTTCCATTTAGAAAACATCTATGCAATGTCTCTTAATTCTCTCTTGCATTTTGGGGGTGCCAATAAAAAGAGAAGTGGGTAAAGGTACTGTGCAATTCGATGACTCCCTGATAGCTGCACTGCACTGACCAAAGACAGGTCCTTCCCACCTGCCTTATGTCCCACCATTAGAGACACCCCACTCTATGTAGGTCAACACAGGATGACTCGTGGAGAAGGAGAGAACCCATTGTACAGATGATATGACTGAGACTTAGAGCTTCAGTGACTTCTCCTTGTAGCATCTAGCACAGTTCTGGGTACCAGATTCATCCTTGGTAATACCAACTTAACATCAGCACCATGCTAAGGCCTATGACCCATCTGTGGTCCTTAGAAGAATTTGGCAGCTGTCTTGAGGAAATGATAATCAGTGCTTCCCAACACTGGCTGCACCTTGAAATTACCAGGGACATCTTTTGAAAAAAAGTTCTGATGCCTGTATCACATTCCAGGCCAACTGAATCATAGTCTCTGGGCTTGGGACCTGGGCATGATTATTTTTTAAAAGATGATTATAAGATATAGTCAGAGTTGAGAACAGTTGAGCTGGGTGAATCATTTCTGGAAGAAAGGGAAAGTTAATTGAGCTGATGAGTGCTGGATTTTCACTGTTGAGCTCTGTACAGAAGCCCTGAATGCCTTATCTGAGAGGAGTGAAAGAAAGGGGGAAGAAGATGGTAGAATGGGACAGAACTGAATTTTTCCTACCACCATTAAAGTCAAATCAACTTGGCCTGTCTGAAGGTCATCAGTCATTATACTTCATTAATTTGTACTCAAGGTGAGAAATTATGAATGATCTCAAACTATGAGGAAATGNGACAGAACTGAATTTTTCCTACCACCATTAAAGTCAAATCAACTTGGCCTGTCTGAAGGTCATCAGTCATTATACTTCATTAATTTGTACTCAAGGTGAGAAATTATGAATGATCTCAAACTATGAGGAAATGCTTTTGTTCAACAGAGGAAAGATACAAATAAGATAGGCATCCCTTTGACCTGCTTAAGGGAACCAACTGCCCCACCCCACCCCAAACACACACACACACACACACACCAATGGTAGGTTTGCCAATAATACATTGGATTTTAGTTAGTCATTAAAGTAGATCCTTTGGGACCACTATTTGCCAAACACTGTTCCCAGCATATGGTAGAGACTCAATAAATATTTGTTGAATTAATGAGTAAATGAACATATTGTCACCGTAGAAGTCACCACATGCTCTTTGGATTATAGAAGATTTTGAAAGAAATGTAATATTTTTCAGCCCAAACAAAAATGAACTGACCTGCCTCTATCCAGAACTTGGGGGATTATAGGCCACAAACTCCAGACTTTGGACAATTTCCACTAGTTTTGCTTTCAAGTTCCCAAGCTCTAAACTGTCCCCTCTGCATTCTCCAAGGCTGAGTCCAGCCTAGCTCAGTCTTGGCCAATAATGAAAGGGAGAGAGTGGGGCATTTGCACCTCACGTGCACTCCTGTATGGGGAGGCAATCACCCCCTCCACTTGGCCCCTCTGCTGGGCATCACCCTGTTAGGCGATACATCGAGAGGTCAAGGCTTCTCAGACTTGCCAACAGAAATACCAATAACAGCACAGGAATATGAATTCATAATCCTCATGATTTCGGGACATTCCCTGAAGCAATCAGTACCAAAAGGGCTGCTATGAACTAAACCAAATTGTGTTCCCTCCAGATTCCTATGTGGAAGCCTTAACCCCCAGTGTGGCTGTATTTGGAGGTAGTTAAGGTTAAATGAGGTCAAAAGGAGAGCACCTGATCCTTTAGGACTAGTGTCTTTATAAGAAAAGGCAGAGCTCTCTCTTGCACTCAGAGGAAAGGTTATGTAAGGACAAAGCTAGGAAAAGAGTCCAAGAAACATTTTTGAAATTTCTTGAACTATTTTAATAAATTTATGCTGGTGTAATTTATTTAACAATGAAGTCCTTGTTTGCCTTAACATGAAAAATAGCTGTATTTTAAAATGGTATTTTCCCCAGAGTTTCACCTAATCCCTACCTTATCTCCAATTACCTTCCCAGGTGCACATGCCCAGTCTGAAAAGGACACATGAGTGAGTTGAGAAGAGGCTTAAAGGACTGTGACCAGAACAGGGAGGGAGTCATGACCTGAGCCAGGAGGAGTGATTGCTGGAATTGGAGGTGATCACCCTGAAGAGGAGGGGCCGAGGGGCAGGCATGCCAGCTGCCTTCAGATATCAGAGAGGAACCTGAAACATTGGTCAAACTAGGGGCTCCCACATCCCCTTCTGATACATAGAAACATCTTGAACATCCTGGGGATTCTGGTACTTGTCCATTGAGAGGGCAGATATGGAGCTGCCCTCTGGGTATCCCATCAGCCAAGGTTTCATTAAGCTCTAATTTGCACCATGGAAAATAGGATTTGTTTTTCATTTTTCATCTTTAAATAGCATGACTTAAATTGTGTGCTTGCAAACCGTTTTTACCTCTCACACAATCTCCACTCTGGAGATCCACACACCTGACTTCCTTCCCTTCCCTGTAAGTTTTGTTGTTTTAAGCATGTAGCTCTACAAAGGAGAATTCAGCCAGTGGGGATGAGTTACAGGGAGCTGGGTTTCAGCATAGAAAGGACTATATTCTCCAAGTTAGAGACATCCAGCATGGAATGGATTGATTAAGACAATGTGTAAGGAGGGGCCAAGTGACCTATTTGTGACCAGGGCATCGATTGGAGGTTGTCATTTCCAATTCTGATTTTGTGCTTTAAGAACTGAGATGTATGATGCAAAAACTCCAGGGCTCTGGCTGAACAGCCCCACCTTTGTGGGTTCAACATTTCAGGACTTTAAAGATTGTCTTCCATACTTTCAAAGAGGACCCACTCACCTCCAATTCCTTGAGATCCCTAATTCTTTCTTCTGTCCCATTTGGGGACTTGAACCCAACTTAACTGAGGACTGGAAGGCCCCAGGACAGAGACACCAGAGGTGTGGAGTCTCCAAATGCGCAGGTGGACAAGGTGACAGTGCTCTACAAGGGGTGCCATGCAAAAGCGTACAGGGAGTTCTGCCTGTCACTTTGGACTTCCTAGGCCATTCGTCAATGCCTGTGGGGGCTCAGTGCCCTACCATGAAAAATCAGCTGGCCCTGTGATCACTTCCCAGCTGCCATCCTGAAACGTTTCAATTCATTCCTCCAGCCTTACTTTGCTCCCACAGGCCAACTTCAGTGCCTTCAGTTGCACCAGGAGGGTGTTGCTATTTTTATTTTGTGATCCCTCCCTTTCCAAATGAAACAAAAGATTTCATGTAAGGCATCCAGATTTCCAGTTTCTCTAGGGAATTTGGCTCTGCACCCCAACGGGGCTCAGGTCACCTCCCGTGCTGCTTCCTCTCTGTCACCAGCTGTCCCCTTGTCTCAGTTGGGCACCTCCCCAAGGCAGATGCCGACACCAGGATTGGAGAGCAAGTAGTGATGTGGGAGGTGCGGAGGGTGATGACGTGGGACAGGGTGGGGAAGAAAGCCAGTGAGGTTACTGCTGTGGGAAACTAGGGTGTAATCCTGCCAGGGTCACTGGGTGAGCGTAGACTGTGGCTCACTTTCCCTCCTGAGAGAAGAGGGAACTTGGGTATTTGTACACCAGCTCCTGTCAGTCACAGGTGGAAGCTGCTCCAGCAGAGAGTGGTGGCCACAGAAAGCCCCATGGCAGCGAGGGGCAGGTGGCAGTGGGAAGGCCAGAGTGCCCTCAGAGGGCAAGGCCTGCCCCAGCGGAGGGACACCGGGGGCTTCTGCTAAGCCTCTGTAAGATGTTTGACTTTGCTGCTCTGCTTTAAGCTGTTCCATGCAACCATTACAAAACAGGAAATCAGTTGTCATTTCAGACCTTGTCTGACCCACTGCCTTCACAGTGTTGGGTCTGCATGATGGACCTGGGGAGGTGTAGATCTCAGGCAAGTTGCTCATTGTACCAAAGAGGAAAGTCACCCACTTGGCACAGCTTTGTCCTTCCAAATCCCCGGGGTAGGGCTGACCTTCCGGATGGCAGACAGCACTAGCATTGGGGTCCTCACTTTCCTCCCTGCCATCCGGCCAGGCTGGCCTTTTCTTTCTGGAATATTTATATTCCTCATGTCCTCTGCTCTCTTTTTCATGCCAAGATTAACCAGCCAACTGGTTTTGATGGCGAGTTATGGGGGGGTTAATTGGAGGGGAGGGATTAACAGACCTTTGCTAAGTCAAGTCTCCAGATCTGTGTCATTACAAATGATGCCTTTTAAAGTCTTTCCACCTTTGCTGGCATCCCTTTGCTGAGCAAAGGAAGAACAGCTGATTCCATACAAGGGGTCTCAGTCTGCCCTTGTGACCACAACATTTCCTGGAACCAAAGGGCTGGTAACATGTCCAAACGAGAAGGGTGAGCTCTCTGCCAGGCCCTCCCAGAGAGGAGTTAATCTTCACAATAGGCATGCTTTATTCTGAGAATCTGTCTTGCAAACCCTGCATTGAGGCTGTTGTTTTCAGATTAGAGAGCATGTTGACAGCCTCTCTTCCAAAGAATCTATGGCTTGGGGCTTTTAACTTTGGGATCCATGTCCCCCAACCACTCTGGGATTCATTTTTCCAGAGGTACCAGCCAAGGGCTCCCCCAACCCCTACCCCCAAGTCTTTGCACACCAGGGCCTGGGGTTAGGACTGGCTGTAGCCACTTTTGAGTCAAGAGAACTTCTGGCCCTTTGCTGTCTTGTTCCCTTTTCTCAGACGCTGTAAACGGAAGTATCCAAGGGTTTTTGCCTTCTGAAGTGTGCATTACACTGAGATGGGATGGGTGGGGGGAATAGGGCAAGTACACAAGAACATGGAGCCAAGTGTCTGGGCATTGAAACATATTGCTTAGATCACAAGGCCCTACCGTTTACCAGCTATGCTTTCTTGGGCAAGCCATTTAACCTCACTGTGTCCCTATTTCCTTGTCTAAAAAATGGAAATAATGGTAGTACTTACCTCAAAGGTCTATCAAAATGATAAAATGAGGTGATGTAGGAAAAGCTCCTTGCCTGCACACAGTAAGATCTTGATAAACAGGAGCTGTTTTCGCCTTTCTTCACCATTATCATTGTAATTGTTGATATTATCTGAGCTTCCAGAAATACCAAATCTCAGCTATGGGCTTTCATAAGAGGACTGGGCCACCTCCATTGGGAAGGAACAAAGGTAGCTTCTTAAGTGATGAAGATTTGGTGATGTGCCCTAAAGAATGGGAGGAATTTGGACAGGTGGCAATGTCATGTGGGGAGACAGCAAGTCAGAGAAGAGGAGAGGAGAACATTCCAGGTGGCGGAAGTCAAGTGTGGTGTGAAAGGAGAGATGCCCGTGTGTGCTCGGGGATTAGCCAGGGACATGGTAAGGCTGGAGTGGGTATAAGAGATGCAGACAGGGGGAAGTAAGATGGAAGAGGCAGGCTGGGCCTTGCCTAAAGGGCAGGTTCTGGGGTGGTGGGCCCTGCACATGGTTTTAAACCAGGAGACCTGTTTGATCAGAGTATGGACTATGAGTGCTCAAGAACAAGTCTGCTCTCAGGGACAGGCCAGACTCCTCAGACGGGGAATTTTGCTTTGGTCCTAACAAAATGGCCAGCATGACCACGTGCTTGGATGTTCCATTTGTCCAATTACATCCTTTGCTTCGGCAGCAAAGCTGAGGCTCTGTGTGAGGTACCCAGAGTGGGAGACATGGGACATTTTATTGGATGGTATTGAATTTGTTCAGACACTTGCAATTCCCCTGGAAGGGGCCATGGATATGGAGTTAATTTACCCTCCGACCTGAAGCCACAAAGTTGATAATCACCTGCCACAGTCTATGGGGGAGATGAACTTCATTGCGGGGCTGTTCAATAAATCTGCTATTAGCAGGGAAAGTGCTTACATGCACTTAAAAAAAATTAAACAACAAAATAAGAGCTGTTGATTGACACAGCATCAATAAAGCCATGCGTGTGCACTGTTGACCTTCCCCCACCCCCAGCTGCCAATCTGTGTTTATTAGAAATCAGTTCCTATAAATAGCTTATGGCAGAGAAAACAGTGAGCTGCTCCTCAAATGTGTGACTGTGACATGCTAACTTCCATACATGGCTCTTGGTTGGATTTAGTTAATCATTTGCTGTAGCTGACTTGTGGAGCATCAGTTGTGAGGGGTTGCTGTGGGGAGGTGGTTAATAATTTTACCACTGCACCTTTGAAGCAGAATTGCTAGTTCCCCCCAGTCTGTTCTTCTGTGTTGCTGACTAGCTGAACCCCAATTTGTTTTCAGGGGAGCAGTGTGCTTTGCTAAAAAAAGAAAAAAGCTTTCCCCTGCCTCTCTGAAGCTGGGATTGAGCACACAGTACTGGCCAATGAGACACAGCTGAGAGGTTCTGGCAAAATTTTTGCTGACCTGATAGATGCGCTACCTCTTTTTCACTGTTCTCGCTCCTTTAAGCCATTTTGTCCAACGAAAAAGGAAACTGGCCTCTCATTCCAGTCCTTGTCTGACTCAGTGTCTTTCCAGTGTTGGGTTGGCATGATGGCACATGTCGTGGGCTTGGGGATCCAGTTTACCTCTTTCTCCTTTCTATTTTCCTCCTGCTTGGAAAGTGGATGAAAGTCTGGAAGTACAGCAACCATATTGTGATTATGAAGTTACCACCTTGAGATTGAGGACCATGGTGTTAAGGATGGTGGAGCAGAAAGATGGATATGGTTCAAGTTCCTGACGTTGTTGAGTTACTTACAGATCCAGGCTTCCTATTCATAAACCTTTTGTTGTATGATGAAAATAAACTCCTTTCTGTTTAAGCCACTATAGAAGGATTATCTGTTAATTACAGCTGAGCATATGCAACTAATTCCAGAATCTCACCTCAAATTTATGCTGCAAGTATGTGAAGATCATGTGCCCAGAATCGGCCAGTATTCAATGTGGGTAAAGCTCAGCAACATGGTAATTAAGAGTTGAGTATGGTGGCTTTTGAATCAAATAGATCTGAGTTCAAATCCAGAAGCCAGCTGCTACTTACCAACTCTGTGACCTTTGTCACACTTGGTGGAGTCTCTTTACAGGTCTGTGCCTCATTTGCCTCATCTGTAAAGTGGAGTAGTATAGGTGGTTATAGGTGGTTATATGGTGAGTGAAAAAGCTCCATCTTGCAAGGAAGAAGAGGCCCTTGCCTGAGGAAGATGAGTCGCTTTACCTGAGCCAAGTGGGTACAGGCATGGCTGAAGAAGGTCCAAAACATGGGAAAATAACCACCATGAAGAAAGCTTGAAACAACACTGGGCCAGGAGCCCAGAGACCCAGGATCTAGATGGTCATATGTACACAGCTTCCCCTGATCCAAGAAGCAATGCCTGCAGTGTGGGATTCTGCCACAGATCATCTTCCTGGGGATTATTTTCATCTCAAGGCACCTTCGTTCCACAGCCCTTGCTGGACATTGTGGGGCCCCAGGTTTATGCCGAACAATTTTCATTGATGGTCTCATTTCTTCGCTCATCATTCCTCTGGGTAAGTGGTGATAGGCCCATTTCACAGGGGAAGAAACTGGGGCTCATAGAGTTTATCTATTCCTCACCCTCATCTTCTCAGTCCTTCAACATGTTTCCTGAGGGTCTCTTATCTACCTGACACCGTGTTAAGCCTTCTCCATTTAATCCTCAAAAGGACATTATGAAATAAATACTATTATCCTCATTTTTCAGATGAGGAAACTGAAGCTCAGAGAAACTGTTGAATTCATTCATTCTTTTAAGGAATTCTGAAGTAGGCCAGCTGACTCTACTGCCAAGGGGCAGACATGATCAGGGCACAGGCCAGGCCAGCTCTCTCCCTGGAAGTCTGTCTCTGCATGCCCTTTCCTCCTGGGGACAGGGTTTGGCCCATCTTTCCCTCTTTACAAGCCTGCAAGTGGCAGGTCAGTGGGTCAGGTGTTCAGCTGTCTTCCCAGACCCCTGTCCTCTGGCCTGGCCTTGGCAGTGTTGGTGGCTCTGCACTGGTTCATTTCAGCCTTGTATTTGCTTTCCAAGGGAGGCAGTGCTGAGACCCTTTCCTCACTTGACTGATAAAGATTGAGGCAGGCCCCTTAGCCTGTGCAGCCTGAGATGGCAGACTAAAGTATAGCAGAATCCTACGGGGTCCCACCACATCCCTTTATTAGGGCTGGTTATACTTACCCTCAGTGGCTGTCAGGATTGGCTCCTAATGGCTCACAGGTGCCCTTTTCTCAATTGTCCTTGCCCTAAGACCCCTTGCCCAATTCCTGAGAGCAACTTGCAGCCAGTAATGTACTGACAGGAGGGGCCCAAAGCCTGGGCACCATGCTTCAGGGTGGAAGCACCCCTGAGTTGTGATGCATGCTCCGAGTTCCCAGGAGGCTAGACTGCAGCTAAGACCAAGTTCTGGCTTAGCTCCTTGCTTCACTCTAGCCTACTTCTTGACTCTCTTTCTCCTGAGGAAAACGAATCACCAAGTCCCTGTTCTGGGTTCTGCATGTAGGAACCCAACCCAAGGCATCTGGGCACTACCTTTGAAATCAACTAGTTCAACTCCCTTTTTTATATGGAGTCCTACCCACCCCTGGTCCCAAACCAGGATGGGTTGATGATCTCCATTAAAGCTCTTACCATACTGTCCTGTACTTGTCTGCTTATGTTTCTATCTGTCTTGATTGACTAAATGGTCCTTGGAGACAGGACTGAGTCTTAGCTTCGTGTCTTCCTGCTCAGTGTCTGCCCATAATGAGCACACCCAGTAATAAAAGCAACAATAAGATTAAATAGAGCTGTCATCTAATCTTTACTATGTGCCGAGCACAGTTCTAGTAACTTTACATATGTTAATTCATTTACACCTCACTATAATCCTCTGAAGTAGGAAATATTATTATTCCCCTCTTACAGATAAGGAAACTGAGGCCTGAGAGGAGCTATGAAAGGGAGGAATATGGACTAGGATGCTGCACTCCCAGCTCCTCACTGGGGCTCTCTCTGTCCCTCTGCTTAGAGAAGAGGTGTCACCCCACTCTAAAATCAGGTGAGAATTTGTTCAGAAGTTCCAAAAGAGTGTTTCTCATCTCAGTCCCTGAGTGAAGAAAGGAACCACTAATGTTTGACAAAAGCAAACCACAACAAAACTAAACATCCTGGTCTCATAGCATGAATCATGCAAAAACAGGGAGGCAAGATTGATCACAGCAAGTCGGATCTCAGCTTCAGTCAATACTTCGTCAGCTTAAGAAATGAAGGCATTACAGGAAGTCACCTGCATGTGAGGCGGAGAACGCAGTGGAAAGGAAGCTCAGTCCCCATTCTTTCCCTGTTCCTCCCCTCAGAGGTATTTTTACCTCTACGGGAGACGTAACACATCCTCAGACACACATCTCTTTGCTTTTTCCACACAGCATCTGAGCCCCCTAGAGGATCTTGGCTTCTCAAGGCTGCAGGGTACTTTAGGGGTCACCTCCCAATTTAGGAATGATAAACCTACTCCCAATTTAAGAGTGATAAACCCACTCTGAATTTAAGAATGCAAATCCACTCCCACTTACGAATGATAGTAATAGTGATAAGATCGGTTGACGTGTAATGAGCATTCACTATGTAATGGGCCCTTTGCTGAGAGCTTTATGTATTTCTCTCAATCATCCTAGGAGGTAGGTGCTACAGATAGCTCCAACTTGCAGAAGAAGAAACGAGGTACATAAATTTTAGGTAATTTGCTTAAAATTATGTAGCAAGTAAGTGCATTTGTTAGGATAGCACTAGCTCTCTAACAAATAATCCCCCAAATGTTAGTGCTTAACACAATAGAAACTTACCTGTAGACACCCTCCAACATCCCAATGCAGGCATTTCTGGTCACTGGATGGTGTCCTCTCTGTGGTGCTTTGGGGACCCAGGCTCCTTCCATCTTGTAGTTCTGCTGTCCCCCATGGGCCTTATCTCTGTCAACCACACCCACCCAGTGAAGGAGAGGTAGATAGCCTGGAGAAGGCACATCTACTTCCTTAGAATCTTGACCCAGAATCTTCTTTAGTGACACACATCACTTCCTTTCATATCCCAAATTGATGAGAATCAGGGATGTAGATACTGGAGGTAAAGGAAGACACTCATCAGGGACAGCTCTTTAATGCACAGTGAAAGGGATGGTTTTGGATGACAACTAGCCATCTGTTATAGTATGTCCTCCCTGAGGGTAATAGGAAGTGGGAGGGGGAAGAAGTGGGCACTGCAAGGTCATTTGTCTCCTTTAACCAAGAATGCAAAAACTTTTGTAGGACACCTCCAGCTGACTGCTACTTAGGTCTTGCTGGCCAGAACCAGGTCATATGTCTATCCCAGCTGCCAGGGAAGCTGGGAAAACAGAACTGTGTTGTAGTGATTAGTTTACACCCATCATACTCCATCTGTACCTGAGACTGGGTACGTTGCCTTCTGGAACTAAGACAATTCAATTAGCAGAGAAGAAGGCAAATAAATAGATATTGAGTAATCAGCTCCTAAAGTTGATCACACATTCATTTATTCAAAATCTATTCCACAAATGTTGATCGAGCAGCTACTCTGTGCCAGGCACTGTGCTAGCTACTGGGAGAGGTGTCTTTTCTATTGTCCAAGGTCATCCTGACTTGGACCCAATACTGCCCTCACCGAAGTTATCAGGAACCTCAAAGTAGATAAACCCCAGAGTCACTTCCAGGGAGATTCTTCAACCTCACAGCTCTTTAGATGCTTTTGCAAGTCAAGGTCATTTCTTTTCTTGGGAGTGGCTAGGAACAAATCTCACGGCCCAGTCGGACATGGAAATAACATGTCCACATGGAGAAGTGCTCTCCCCAGCAACTCCCTTGGCAGAAGGAGCAATGAAGAACTGGGAGCCCTACCCATCAGCCACCCCTCTGCCTGGCTTCTTGGAGGGGAGCTGGGGGGTCTTTGGGGACCCAGGCTCCTTCCATCTTGTAGTTCTGCTGTCCCCCATGGGCCTTATCTCTGTCAACCACACCCACCCAGTGAAGGAGAGGTAGATAGCCTGGAGAAGGCACATCTACTTCCTTAGAATCTTGACCCAGAATCTTCTTTAGTGACACACATCACTTCCTATCATATCCCAAATTGATGAGAATCAGGGATGTAGATACTGGAGGTAAAGGAAGACACTCATCAGGGACAGCTCTTTAATGCACAGTGAAAGGGATGGTTTTGGATGACAACTAGCCATCTGTTATAGTATGTCCTCCCTGAGGGTAATAGGAAGTGGGAGGGGGAAGAAGTGGGCACTGCAAGGTCATTTGTCTCCTTTAACCAAGAATGCAAAAACTTTTGTAGGACACCTCCAGCTGACTGCTACTTAGGTCTTGCTGGCCAGAACCAGGTCATATGTCTATCCCAGCTGCCAGGGAAGCTGGGAAAACAGAACTGTGTTGTAGTGATTAGTTTACACCCATCATACTCCATCTGTACCTGAGACTGGGTACGTTGCCTTCTGGAACTAAGACAATTCAATTAGCAGAGAAGAAGGCAAATAAATAGATATTGAGTAATCAGCTCCTAAAGTTGATCACACATTCATTTATTCAAAATCTATTCCACAAATGTTGATCGAGCAGCTACTCTGTGCCAGGCACTGTGCTAGCTACTGGGAGAGGTGTCTTTTCTATTGTCCAAGGTCATCCTGACTTGGACCCAATACTGCCCTCACCGAAGTTATCAGGAACCTCAAAGTAGATAAACCCCAGAGTCACTTCCAGGGAGATTCTTCAACC